AATTCAAGATCAGTAAACTAAATGTTTTTAAACAATAAAAATGTTTTAAAATACTCAATTGATTTTCCTAGTTATAGTTTTTTCAATCACAAGGGCTAAAATGCACCTTTAAAACCATCATTCAAAAGGCTGAACGGTGCTTTTAAACGTAGATACTCTAGCATAATGCTTGTGATGTTACTCTGAGTGTATATCCACACCGGGCAAGCTTGACTGAAAAATATGCCTGGCCACGGTGGGAATCGAACCTACGACCTATGGAATACGACCTTTGGGATACTTTGGAATTTTCGTTAGTATGAACGTTGGTTTCAGCACCTGGCATAAACAAACACCTCATTTAATACGACAAAAATGACCTTTGGAAACGCAGTAGATTCCGGTGTTCAAGATTTTTCTGTGGACGGTTAATATAACCATGTATGTAATCTTGCAATCGCGTAGCTCAGTTGGCAGAGCATGGGCTAGTATTCCAAAGGTCATAGGTTCGATTCCCACCGTGGCCAGGCATATTTTTCAAGCTTGCCCGGTGTGGATATACACTCAGAGTAACATCACAAGCATCATATTCACCTGAGTGTACACTGCACCAACGCAGAAAAAATACTCTAGCATAGTTAACTCTATTTATAACGTTGACATGGCATGTACATGGTCCATGGTTCGTCCTTGCCATAGGACGTAAACTAATAAAAGTAATTTTAATAGTCTTGAGTATTTTTACTTACGTTTGGGCATGCAGGTGCGGTTCATGGGTCTTCAAGTCCCGTTTGCACCTTGCCCATTTAGGGTTATTATTTTATCATTTCAAGTTTATTAGTGTAAGTTTATTGACCCTAATAAAGAAAGATGATTAATGAGGAAATTTCAAACTGATTTGGATGTAACTATACATGACACTGACTTCAACATTTCTTTATGCGCATATAAAGTGGTCAAAAATGTTTTTATGCGATAATTTACAGCCATGAGGCAGAATACTGAATTTTGCAAGTTAATATAATTGAATACTATATTTAAACTTTGAATAGGAAGATGTTATGTTGACGAATACTTTGAAGTTTTGAATATTTTTGGTCGTTTTGTTAACAACCGCTTAAACCAAAGTTCATGTGAATGACAATGGTGTTTATCTGCAGATCTAAAACCTGCACCCACGCGGTAGCGATATCCTCTGGCAACGAAGCCGTATCACGTCCTATGAAATGCCATAGCTGGTACAAGATTTCCTGCATAAAAAAAACTTAATCAATATCACTTTATGCGGTGGTTTGAAAACTACTTCGAGCAATTTTGAATACATGGGAATCGCTCATGTTCTATTGAAATTAGAACGAGACTTTTGAATAGGGTCCCTCTTTGTATAGCCGGCTTTATTTATTTTCTGTTAGATTGTGACTGGTGTTCTGTCCCGCCAACAGTGCTCCTTGTTTGACTCAGAGGTGTAGTGTACGTGTGTGTGCGGGGGGGGAGGCTTAGGAGCTTAGCCCCCTCATTAAAATTTCCATTCAACTTGGGAAAAGTGGATTTCTTCTTGCAGCAGTCATACTGAATGAATTATACCATATGCTCCTTAATATTGCAGGTTTGCTGGCTTGCCTATAGCCCTGTCATCAGTGAAGTTAACTATAAGATCTTGCCGGCTGCACTGTTAATTTCAGGGAGTTAATGTTACATCGGTTGAACCTATAGTTATGTGGGAGTTATGCCAACTCTTTAAAATGAACAGGGTGGTCCACGCTGCATCCCATGCTTTTTTTGTTGGTTAAAGTCACTTCCGAGTGCTCATTCAAATTATTTTCGCCCTTACGTTATCTAGATGTGCACGAAGCATGCATCAAAACATTTCAAATTGTAGAAGATCTTTATAAACTTATTACAGTGAACTAAATTTTAACTCTACTCCAGTATCTGCACTAGTTCTTCAAATGACGGATATGTTTAAATGTCTCGCCTTAAAACAAATAGAGAAGGAAATTCATATGAATTATAAATAATACATAACAGTCTAAAAAATGTTGACGATTCATAGTGCGGTTAACCATGAAACTATATTCAAAATAGGTATATGGTAGTATAAAAGCCAAATTTTACCAACCATTTTGCACATTTCATTGGATTCACAAAGACTGCGAGCAAGGAAATAGTGGAGAAATTTTGATCATTTCTATACAAAATGGGTGAGTCTGCATATGCCTGCACTTTTTACAATTTAGTATTGTACCTTACTGTACTGCTAAATTAAAGCGCCTATATCCTACGCCTTCTCGTTTAATTGATAAATAAATGGTGTAATTTTAGGATTTATCTTAAATTGTATAGTTTTAATTCGCTTCTTCCTCTATAAGCATCGGAGGAGCAATCACTGCTAGAATTAAAGTGTACGAGACATCTGGACTTTCGAAAGTCCAGACACTTTATCGATGGGTTTTTTGAGAATTTTGTCGTAGTTTTCAGTTGTAGGAACTCAAGCAATATTTTCTTATTATATTCAATGTGATCTCGTGGTCCGTACGCTTGCCTTTCAAGGTCTTCAAATAATTATACCGTCAGTAAATGGTTCGACTTTCGCGTCTTCTCGGATAAGGACGTTAAATCGTAGGTACTCGGATCCCCTGTATCAATTGGGCAAAAAGGCAGTTGGGAAATCCTGCCAATGAGTGAGACACTTAATATGCAACTATATTTTCCCGACTAGATAAAAATTATTTGTTATAGAGATATTTGCTCCGGAGCAGTGGTCAGACATTTACTGAGGATACAGTAATTACATAGACATATATAATGACGGTTCCGTCGTATTCTTTCAAATTTTCGTTCAATTCAGACGTAAATTTTAGATATTAAGAGTAAATCTTATGATGCAACTCATACTTCTACGTGTTTCACAAAACACAAAGAGCTACCAAAAATATTATGGCTTCGATTTAAAATAATCTTCTTCTTCTTAAAAAAGAACGAAATGCTTCCAAATAAATAATCGTCTATTAAGTATTATAATTGGATTAATTAAGGGCACTCCTGCTAGTTCCACGTTTTCTTACACTGCAAAAAATCTCTGAGTATATATCCACTCAAATACTTGAGAAAATAACGCAGTAAAAATAGCAAGGGGAAACGAAGTCAGCAAAATCCGCACTATAAAAAGATGTAGAATTAGTGTAAGGACTAAGGTGGCTGTAACGCCCAAACGAGATGTTTCGAGTACATACGAGATTGTTTAATTATTCCTATATAATAAAGCTTGTTAAATTGTCGCAAACGGAAGCTGCATTACATAAGCTATATTATATTATATATACATCAATAACTCCGAACACTTATGTCAATTTCAAGTGGCCACTTCCGTTAACAATTGTGTTTTAGATTCATACGTTGACAAATACGCACACGGAGATTGCACGTGTATGACAACTTATTAAGACTGCTTTATATACACTATCAAAGTTTCTGTGATCACAGTAGGAATTTTGCATGGATAAATTCTAAGTTTTGAAGGATTTGTAAGAAATGTTTGTGGGAACGGACTCTATATATCAGTTTCCTCAAACATTTCATACAAATTTTTCAAGACTTACAATTTACCTAAATGCAAAATTCCTACTGTGATTCACAGAAATTTCCATTCATCGCAAAAACCAACACTCAAGCTATAGCTGCGAGTATTTTCATCCAATCACAATACCCAACAGTTTATTTTAATTAGATGCATCTGATACCTCGCAGCAAGCTTGCGGGTTGCATGGTTTCGGGATGAGCAGAAAATAGCGTTTAAATTTTAAATCATTATTATTTTCATGCCATGCATGCAGTGTAACCAATTCACAATTGATACTTTCGATTAATTTGAATGGTGAATGTGGTCAGTCAAATGACATGCAAAACTAGTGGTGCAGACTATTTTTACCAGTGAAATCAGTTCAATTTCATTGCCGGTTATCTATAATTGCAAATATGGTATTGGTCGGATGGTATATTTATGTACCATATATTTATGTACTTATATTATTATTGGTCGGATGGTATATTTATGTACCATATACTTATGATTAATAGAAATTCCTGTGTTACGGTGGCTCCAAGTGTTACGGTGGCTCCATGATACATTTTGGACATATCTTTTTCATTCAAACATAAACAAAGGCAGACCTTGCTAGAGAAATTTTTTTTAAAATAACATATTGCACGCAACTGTTTGCTGCTTAAGCCTGGATGAAACGAGGCTGAGAGTGCACGAGAGTCGACAGTCATACGACCCTGGTTAGCTGTTCTTAATGCTTTCCTAACACTATCATGTATTCTATTGAAGTTAAAACATAGTTGGAACACCCATCAAACCTTGAAATGTCCCCCGTAACAATGCGGTGACTGATCGGGGCTTCAATTTCAAAGCACATTAATTCAAGCCCGCAAAGATAACAGCTTTTTGCCCGGGGATATAGTGCCAAAAACATCTTTGTGGATGAACGCCAAAACACTTGGAATGGACTGACTCATGTTAACCGACTGTGAAAAGTCTTACTCATTGCACGTTTCGTGGCGGGAAAGGCGGGTCTGGACCTACCCATATCATTGGTTGATTATAACAAGAAACAACAAAAGATGACAAAAAAGACATCTTATTATTCTCGCACTATCTACACTGGCAGAGATCGTTCAAAATTTTAAACAAAGAAATCATCTTTTTATAAAGAACGAGTCATTAATTAACACAGATCACGTCTCGTTCAGAAAACCAATCCTAAAACATGCTCAAATTAAGGTACATAGTTCCAGGGGTATGTTATGTTGACCTTATGGTGTTGTCATGACGTGACCCAGCCTTAGTGATTCATCTAGACGTCTCTGGTAATTTCTCATCCTGTCTCACCATGCCCACCATGTGTTCATTAACAGCTCAATAAATACAGTAGATTTCCACAGGACCTATGCAGTGCAGCTCCCCGTTTTCATCAATATTGATACATATCGTGTATTGACAGCTCACTTAAGTCAACAACATGGCTTTGTTTGGTAAGTATTCAATGAAAACAGTATGGAGTACCGGCTGCTTTGTGGAAACACTGTTGTTATCTGTCTCGTACAGAGTTTATGCGCAACATATATGTTAATTTGTCCAACACTATAAAGCATAATGCGTCTTTTCGTGGAAAAAAACACTAATAATCGTTTTCATATCAAACAGGTTTGACCTCAAAAGAAGATTTAACCGGAAGACGGGTGTGTTTCAACAACTATTCATCACTCTTGCTCATTGTGGGATTTACACTGACTAATGCAGGTAAGACAATCAAAGAAATATCAACAGTATAAAGGATTGTGTTCCCCATCGTTATTATTCTATCGAGTTCCACAAAGATTCGTATTTTAAAAGAAACTTAGAGTTGTAAGAAATGGAACTCATTCTTGAGTGGTGTAGTTTCGTTTGCAACCTTCTCCCCCATCAAATATTTGGAGAATGTATACATTAAAATCGAATTATCGTAGCTCGCGTGTAAAGCATTGTCAAAGAGTGAAGTTCTACCAGCTTTAAACTGGTCTTCGTGTGTTCCAGTACAAGAGGGCGTTTTGGTAGATCCAGTATATTGCTGCAGGAGAAAATATAAACTAGCTCTATTTCTAAACTGATCTTAATAGAGGACCAGTAAGAGGTCCGTTTTACTAAACGAAATCAGAGTACCACCATGCAGAAGAAAACTTAATAGTGTTCCCCTATTTGCGAACCATTCTTCGCACTTGCAACTGAGGCGAAATCACAATCAGTTGTAAGGGACCGTTCATTATTTATATCCGGGGTTGGTACCGAAGAGATATGGGTTGGATAATCAAGTTTTTGACTAGCTCATGGGTTGGGTAAAAAAATTATGGCTGACTGTCAGCTATAAAATAAAACTAAACCATGCATTGTAGAATATGAAGAAAAATGTGTACAATACACTCTGTACCAAAATAGACCATCAGTGGTTGAGGAAGAAATTTATCATTGATCAGCAGGAACGTGATTGCTTTGGCACACTCAGTGAGTTTGAGTGTGAGTGAGTTTAGGGAACTTGATTTCTGTCACCATAATCTTGTGTGTTTAATTATTATGAAGTACAGTAACACATGGGTTGGGTAAACATTATTTTGACCAATGTCGAGGTTGGGTAAATAAAAAATTTACAGTGTTTTCGCTTCTCTTCGGTACCAACCCCAGGTATAAATAATGAACTGTCCCTAAGTGCATATGATTGTGCACTTAGGTGCGATCTCATAGCAATGAGTGTATATGATTGTGCACTTTTAGATGCGATTTTCTACTTCTGATGGATGTGAACAAGTGCTTGAGTTATGAATGTTCAGATGACCACTGATGATAATGAGAAATATACTCAAAACATTCGCAATTCATCTACTTGTTCACACAACTACTTGTTACTACTACTTGTTACTACTTGTTACTACTTGTTACTACTTACTTTATTTGTTCTTGTTCTACTTGTTCATCCCTGTCAAGCTTTCAAAAGAAAATTGCTGCTCATATTTTCTAAGACTACTTGTTCTACTACTTGTAAATAATTATTCTACCATTCCTACTATCTAGCTAATTTGTACTTGTTACTATACCTCATATTTGTAAATAACTATATTTATGTAATATTTCGCTTAAACTACTGTAATTTTTTTTATGCATGACACGCCCCCTATGGAAATCAGCTTCGGTTGATAGGGTTAGCGTGGGTAAATAAAGTTTTTCTATCTTCTATCTACACATCAGAAGAAGATCGCACCAGCAATCGCCGCAAAAATTGCAAGTGTAAACGGGCCTTTAGGCCATATAAAATAAATTCCTTGATTCTCATCACCGCCCGACGATATTTTGGTTTCCGCGTTGATATATTTTTGTATTTTGTTATAAAATATAAATTTACCGCCCGACCGAGCATCTTCAGAGATTTAGTTATTTTTATATTGGAATTTTTGCGATATAAAATTGTTTTATCGTTAATATTGCAACATGTTAAGGGATGCTTGGAATACTGAAGGAAAAAATGGGCTTATAGCCTTATTACAACGATTTGTGTGGACCCTTATGCATGTTCATTAGCGCATGTGCAACGGTATGGTTATATAACGTTCTTCTATAATATATTTAACTATTTAAGGGCAAATATAAAAAGACCTCCCTCTCCAATTTTTTAAATTTTAAACTTTTTTTTTATATTTTGACATAAAATATAAAATATAAACCTCCCGCCTCCTGGGAGTTTTTAAAATTTAGCAATGAGAATCAAGGAATATATTTTATATGGCCTTACAGGAATTGAGGCTCACAGTGCCTCCTCTGTGGTGCTTCTTAAAAACGATGTAAACTAACTCAACATTTTCCATTTTCAGCTGTTTTCCCATGTGATCTCCCGAGCGCAGAGATCGTCTCTATATACAACAATCAGTACAACATCCCTCAAGGCTTTGGTCCCTATTTCATCAAGATAAATCGCTGTATCGACGCCGGGATGCAGTGCCCACAGTTCACTATGCCAAACACAACGAAGCTCGTCAAAATAGTAGTGCAAAGCAATACGAATGGAAAGGTGTACGAATATACCCTACATGACCATATTTCCTGTATGTGTGGACCACAAAACAAGCGTGATCTGAAACTTTATGAAAGCTCGCGTAAACGAGGTATGAATACAAAATGTAAAGATTAAAGTCATACAAGTTTAATAGGGGTTCGACTGTATGTCTCTTGCATGCTGTGTAAAATAAGCGGTAGATTGTGTAGCACAGGAAACAGTGGAATTTTCAAAAGAATGAAACGTTCACGGAATCTTGACTGGAAACGATCATTGGATCGTGAATGATTGGCACTATTGTCATTCATGCTACAAGAGTTGCATAAAGATCCATTGTTCATTAGAGATGGAACACGACCATTGTATGTTAGCCCCAGCACATACAGGGAAAATCACTTTCACTAGCAAGAAAAACCAGAACACCAGTACAATGCAACATCTGATCAGTTTTAATGTCGCCTACATTCAAAACATGTACAGCTTCTGGATGACCCAATCACGCTTAGCAGAGCAGTGAGCTCTGTACAGCATAATCTAATCATACAGCACTTAATGACAGTATTCTACTCAAACTCACATGTCTTCTGTAAAACATTAAATCACTTTAATGCAAGAACATGTACTGCCTCTGCATGAGCAAACATACTACCCTCACGGAATATCCATGTAATACCATTAATTAATTGTAGATACTATTCAAGAACATATAGGGGTAACTCTGGATATTATTGAAGGCCCTGCAGTTTTTAAATGCCACACCCACGCTAACACTAATTCTTCACTTACAGTGAGCGTAGCGTATAAACAGAAATACGAGAAAAACAATCCACCTTACATTGTCGACTGCAGCCAGCCTCAACAAAGATACCAGAAGATCAAAGACTTTCATCACCCTCTATTTCTTGGTTACAAACAATGTCTACCACGGTCAATGTGTATCACAGGTAACACTGTCACACGCGAAGAGTCCATCACTCACTGGAGTGGTCACGTTAGAAAGGTAAATGTGACCAATGATGTCGCGTGTTCGTATCCAACTTACAGCGTTTCAAATGAAAACAACAGTCATGGTGAGTTGAATCTCATTCAAAATTCATTTTATTTTTTGCCGGTACTTTTTAGTTTACGTTTCTTCCAGTAGTAGTACTGGACTAATACGAAATGACTCTTACTGGACAGTGTAGATGGATATCCAGTATAAATAGCTAGTTTAGTTAGATTTCCACCGGTGCCAAACACTGGACCCGTAAAGGGTGATACTGGATGTCTACGAAGAATACTTCACAACTGATACACTCTAAGAAACACCGTGGTTAAAAAGTTTCTGGTTCCTCTAAAATTAACACTGTTTGGGTAACTTAGTGTTCCTGGTTACATTTCCTCGTCAATTTAACTACAGTCTGGGTTCAATTTGATCATAGTCCTGGCTACTTTAACGAGGATTAACCATGAATGCATGGTTAATAATCCACCTATAACATAATCTGGTTAGTTCAACCATATAGCCTGGTTAAATTAACAAGGAATCCTGGGTAAATTAGCCAGGACTATATGGTCGAATAGGCAATTCCAGCTTTTAATTTATGCGCGCAGGGGAATGGGAAGTAAGGTATCATATTGCTGATTATGCTGAAAAATGTCAATAAAAACTGTCGAAACAACCGAAATAAGCTATCACTCCGTGTTTAAAAGGCCACCATTTTTATTTTTTCAGCATAATCAGCAATATGATACCTTACTTCCCCCCGCCTGCACGCATAAATTAAAAGCTGGAATTGCCTATTAACCAGGACTGTGGTTAAATAAACCAGAAAATTTAACCAGGTAGGAACATTACCCAAACAGTTTTTAGATTAACCAGGACATTTTTAACCCGAGTGTACAGCTACCCAGTATAAATAAAGTTAGTTCTTTATCACTACATGACAATGTCTAACATTTATTACCGATCTTTGGTTTAGATAACATATTCAACATCGATTCGAAAAAGACTTTCTTTGCACTGGTCTTATTGGCTCTGGTATTTTTAATCGCCATAATCATCGACCTGACATTTTGCTGCCGAAAAAAGGGATTCTGCTACAGTCTAAGGAAGTGTGTGCAAGGCGAAGAGGAAACACCACAAGGTGCAATACAACCAACGCTTGTCTGATAAGGTTTGATTGTACACATCGTGCCTCCCCCCCCCCCCCCC